CACTGTCAGGCCCTTGGTCCCTTGGAAGATGGTGCTGTCTAGTCTTTTCACAGTCCAGCATGCTCACACTCCAAAACAAACATACCCTCACACTCCAACACACACAGACTCTCACACTCAGACACACACACATCCTCCCTTACACACACTTGCACTCCAACACACACTCATACACTCACACTTTAGCACACTCACACACACTCATGCACACTTGCACCCAAACACACTCTCACACACACACTTACTTACACACACTTGTACTCAAACACACTCATACACACACTTGCTTTCTCACACATACACACACATTCCTCTGAGCTGAGTGATACTCCTGCCCTCACACCTGCTGAGTGGGGCAGCGCCCGCCTCTCCACCCTTGCAGGCTATGGAGAGGACCCCCTGCAAGGAAGGGCCAGGGCATCCCTCCACAGGTTCTCGCCCTGGCTGGGTGTGCTCATAGGAGGCAGTAGACCCTGGTATTTAGATCATGGACTCTGGAGCCAGACTCTCTGGGTTTGAGTCCTGGCTCTGCTGCCACCAGCTGCGTGACCATCAACCATTGCTTCATCTTTCTGGGTCTTGGTTTCACCCCTCATATAACAAGGACAATAATGCCTGCCCCATAAGTCGCTGTGCGGATTCATCACGTTTCTACGTGTAAGGTGCTCATATAGGAAGCCCTGGTGAGTGTTAGCTGCTGCTGCTCCTGTTCTCAGCATCTGCTCCTAAATCATCCATTTCTGGGCTTCGGGTCCCTGGGCAGGAATTCAGCTTCTAACTGGGACTCAGGGAGAACAACTGTGTTTTCTGCTGTGGCTGTAACAGATGACTGCAGATTTAGTGACATAAAGCAACACGGCCTTATTTTCTTACAGTTCTGGAGGTCAGAAGCCTGAAATCATTTTCACTGGGCTGACGCGGAGGTATCAGCAGGGCTGCACTCCCTCCAAGGCTCCCAGGGAGCATCGGCTTCCTGGCCTTTCCAGCCTCCACAGCCACATTCCTTGCATTCCTTGGCTCTTGGCATCCTCCCCATCTTCAGACCAGCAGCCAGCATCCTGCTTCTGTTGTCCCACTGCCACCTTCCTGCGTAGTCCAGTCTCCCTCACTCCTTCTCAGAAGAACCTTGGTGATTACATTTGGGGCCCACAGAGATAATCCAGGAGAATCCCTCATCTCAAAATCCTTAACTTAATCTCATCTGTGAAAGCTCTTTTGCTGTAGAAGGTAACATTGATACTCTGGGGATTGGAGTGGGAACATATTTGGGGGCCAGTATTCATACAACTGAGGCAGGAGGAAGCTTCCCTGGGTCCTGGCCCTGTGGCCCAACTTGGCCAAGTTCTGGACCAACCTGGAGCACTAGTCTAGACCCAGCCTGGCCACACCAGCTGCCAGGGTCCCCTGCTGTCCCTTCATGCTGGCTCTAGGCCCTCTATCTCCCCAAATAGGCTCTGAGGGCAGAGCTGGTGTTCCATTCTCTGCTGAATCCCAGTCGTGGCATGTGGGGCACCAGATGGTTCTGCACTTGTGTGTAAAGGTGAGCAGGTGCTGATATGCCACATGTATCCTTTTAGGCCATGGTGAGTGTCACTGCGGGGAATGCAAGTGCCATGCAGGTTACATCGGGGACAACTGTAACTGCTCGACAGACATCAGCACATGCCGGGGCAAAGATGGCCAGATCTGCAGTGAGCGCGGGCACTGTCTCTGTGGGCAGTGCCAATGCACGGAGCCGGGGGCCTTTGGGGAGATGTGTGAGAAGTGCCCCACCTGCCCGGATGCGTGCAGCACCAAGAGGTACTGGTTCCACCGACAGCCCCACCTTACTTCTCACCCAGGCCAGGCCTGTGGTCCAGCTGGGCAGCCCTCAGGGCCGGCCAGCCTCCACTCCCCACCTCCCACATCTCCCACCCGGCCAGCCTCACTGGGGAGCCGCACCCTTACCAACAGTAACTGAAACTGTGGCTTTCAAACACTGGTTCCATAAGGGTTTTGTAAGAAAACAAAAACACAACAAGAAATACAAAACTGCTACTCTGTTCCTAAACACATTTAGAAATTACAAGATCACAGATTTAAGTGAAATTAAACTGGTGTTGGTACCAAAAATAGCACCTTCTCAGAGCCTTGAGTGTACTATTGTGTGCTTTCACAGGAGAATACAGCGTGCATCTTTTTTCAAATGAATTTAATCCTCCACACTGATATCTCCCAAGCAGTGTTTCACAGAACCCCTATGGGAAATGCTGACAAACATCACCAGAAGGTAAATTGGAAAGAGGCTGGGCGCGGTGGCTCACACCTGTAATCCCAGCACTTTGGGAGGCTGAGACGGGTGGATCACTTAAGGTCAGGAGTTTGAGACCAGCCTGGCCAACATGGTGAAACCCTGTCTCTACTAAAAATACAAAAATTAGCTGGGCGTGGTGGCGCATGCCTGTAATCTCAGCTGGTCTGGAGGCTGAGGCAGGAAAATGGCTTGAACCTGGGAGAGGGACATTGCAAGATCGTGCCACTGCACCCCAGCCTGGGCAACAGAGTGAGACTCTGTCTCAAAAAGGGTAAATTGGAGATAAAGGCACCCGACCTAAATAAGGCATGCCAGAAACCACTGCAATGGCTTTTGAATTTTCTGCTCCATTTATACAGATAATAGAACGCGGGCTCTGCGCTGCTGCTGAACGCAGAGATTGTCTAGAACTGGGCCCCAGCCTTCGCTGACTCGGCCACGGCCTCCCGTAGCCGTGCTGACCTCCTTCTGCTCAGCCCCGCACGCTCCACCAGAGTGCAAATGAGAGGGAATTACAGAATGATGCCCCTGGAAAGCAGGAGTGGCATTTGCTCTTGGAGTTTGCTGGAGAAACAGCTGTGTCATCATTATCCATGCTAAGGAGGCAGGGACACAGAGGATAAGAAACAAATCATAATACAAACGTCGCTTCTCTTTGGCTGAGGAACGCATCTGTGATTTTCTCTTGGCAGATTTCCCTTCCAAATGTCTGGCTCAGGCTGATAATGAAATGAGTTCATGCTCCCTGCGCCTGCAGTGGCTGCTGGTCAGTCTGTGCTCAGAAACGTTCTGGGTGGCAGAACCCCTGGTTGGACATTTGCCATAAATAACCCAGGCGTGGGTAAATGAAAGCTGGCTGCAGATGGAGAGACAAGATAGACAGGACTGGGTTTTAATGTGTTTAATTGGAGCGGATGGGGGAGAGTAAGGAAGAAGAAAAACAGATCTTCTTTAGATCTGCTAAGAGCAGAGAAAAAACAGATCCAAGTAGAAACAGCTTGGGGAAGGTTAGGATCCTGGATCTGGAGCCCAGATAGCTGTGGCCATCCCAGCATGGAGTCAGCCATTATCCACGTTTTGTACCCGAGGGAGGTGCCCCCACCTCCAGCTCCCAGCAGCAGAACCTTTTTGAGTCTATGCTCCTAGTCCTTGGGGCACACTAGGTTAATGGGGAGTGGGGGTCAAGCTAGGACAATACACATGGAGCCCATCAAACGAGTCTTGCCTTCCTACAGCACAACAGGCAATGGAGGATTGGCCTTAAGTCAAAAGCCCAGGGGAAAACAGCTCTAGCTTTAAATGTTTAAAGCACTGATTTCCTAGAAGACATAGACTTAACAATTTATTATTCATTACACAATATGAAGGGAGCAAGGAGAGCAAAGAGACGCCACAAGGGAATATCATGATTCTTTCTTCTTCTTCTTTTTTTTTTTTTTTTTGAGACAGGGTCTCGCTCTGTCACCCAGATTGGAATGCAGTGGCATCATCACAGCTCACTGCAGCCTTGAACTCCTGGGCTCAAGCGATCCTCCTGCCTCAGCCTCCCAGGTAGCTAGGACTATAGACTTGCACCACCACAGCTGGCTAATTTTTATTTTTTATAGAGACAGGGTCTTGCTATATTGACCAGGCTGGTCTCAAACTTCTAAACTCAAGCGATCCTCCCACTTCAGACTCCCAAAGTGTTGGGATTACAGGAGGCGTGAGCCATTGCACCCAGCCCACTATTCCTTCTTATTTGTCCCTGGGCCACACTGACCCTCTCTGTCTCTTTCACAGCCTAGTTGAAACTTTTTTTTTAATGAAGTCCTTTTGATGGTGACTTATATCAGTCTGGTTTTTCTACTTGCTGCTTGTTAAGAGGCACCAGGTTTTGAATGTCCTACGTCCTTTTTTTTCTGGGGGTTTCAGAGCAGCCAGTCTTCATTTTCTGGATCTAACCAACCACACTCTTCACTTCGGGTGAGTTCACACTCAACCCCAGCTGATTTCAATTAACAGGCTCTCAGTGCAAAGTCTCTCTAAACTTAATTTTTTTAAAGGGCAGACTTATTTTAGTACATGACTACAATATATTACAAGTTTCAACCAGTACATGGGGCATATGAGTTAGACTGATATGTCCACATGGATACTTAGGGAGTGTTTCCTGGAAGCGGCCTGGAGCTGTGGTTTAACAACAGAGAATCAGACGGCAGGGACAGAGAATCCTGGCCCGGAGCGAAAGCAGCCCTCTTCTTAGCCCTGTGCTAATCTGGGAGACTGATGGGGGGGAGGGGTGGGTCGGGGGCCGCTGGGTCAGCATGAATGACTGAAGCTGGAGCCACCCCTTCCTGGCCCCCAGCCAGGTCTCAGCTGCCCGCCTTCCAGGGCTGTGACTGTTGGGAGAGTTACCATCTTGTTTCTAACTTCAGAATGTTTCCATAAAGTCAGTCCCAGGAGAGCGGGATTTTGTGGCCAGTTCAGGGATGGTTGAGCTCCTAAGCATATCCGAACCTCTTAGGAGGCCTAGTCTGAGAGGTGGGGCATCTGGCTGCAGAACCTCAAGTCCTCCTCCGTAAAATAAAGAGGACTTAGTGAAATGGTCTCAGAGCTCCCAGCCAGTTCTGCTCCTCCACTTCGCAGTTTCTGTACTGGCAATGTTTTAGTAGCTGGTCTCTTAATCCCAAGGTGTTAGGAAACAGATGATGATAAAGGAACCACATTGCAGTTGCACATCCCTCTGTATTTTTGGCAGAGAGCTTTCTGCACACACAGCCCCTTTGGTCCCCACAGGCCTGTGGCGGCACAGCAGCTGTCCCTCGTGTAGTTGAGGTTCTGAGGAGGTCACCCCCTGCACTCTGGTGGCCTCCCCAGCACACCTGGCTCTTGAGTCCTGACCCGGTTTCCTAGGCGCCTCTCCTGGGGTCTCACTCTCCTCAAAGGCCACCAGGCAGCACGGCATCACAAAGTCCTTGAGAACGACACGCCCCAGCCCTCTCCTCCCTGGAGCTTTGTGCTCACCATCCCCCAGCCACCAGCGGAGCCTGGGACCTCTCCCCTTGAACATCAGCTTTACAGTCCTGCAGCCAGAGCGTAGCTCCCCGCCCTGTGACCTCAGGAATCCCGTTCTCCCAAATGTCTCCTAAGACAGAGAAAGAATGTCTGGAACTTGGTTTTGATGATATAAAGTATAATACTGACCATTTAATTGAACTTTGTAGTCAAGCATTTTCACCCACTATCTGATTGAGCCAGCACCCACTGTTAGCCTGAGGTGGGAGGAGAGAGGCTCAAGCTGTCACTTTTGGGCTGCTCATCCATTTTCTAGAGGAGGCCCCTGTTAAAGAACAAGGGTTCCCTGGGAGGGAGCCATCACCCTAGAGCCTGTGCCAGAGCCTGGTGTAGACTGATTCGTGGGTTAAGAGGACAGCAGGCCTGGGGGACCTGGCAGGTGGACTCTGTCTGAGAGGGAGAAGGGGGCTGGAGCCTGAGATTCTCCAGGACAGTGGATCTCAGCCCTCGACACGCATCAGAATTGCCCAGGAAGCCTGGCCCTGGGGGTGTGGTTGGGCTCAGGTACTGGGAGTTTCTCTTGAAAGCTCCCTGGAGAGTTGAATGTGTGGGAGGGTTGAGATCCCTGCCCTGGGTGATGACCAGACGCCTCACCAGGCATTAGATGGACCAGAGTGCAAATGGATTTGGCTCCTGGTGTCAGAATTTGAAAGGTCTGCAACTTGACATGTAAAGACATGCCACTAAACTCACACAGGTTCCTCCAAGAACCCTTGGGCTTCCTCGCATAGCAACAAGAAAGGCGGAGCAGACACATTCCCTGAGGCTGAACATCTGCGGCTAGAAAGAAATGAAAGCCTTCCCAGGTCCTGCACTGTCGGGAGCTCAGGGACAGGTGTGGGACTGTTCTACATTGTCTGACACCCACCTTTATTTCCTCTTTTCCAAAGAGATTGCGTCGAGTGCCTGCTGCTCCACTCCGGGAAACCTGACAACCAGACCTGCCACAGCCTGTGCAGGGACGAGGTGATCACATGGGTGGACACCATTGGTGAGTGTGCCGCCGCCGCCTGGGCAGCCACGGTTTCTCTCCTCCCTGGGGAGGAGGGTGGTTTTAGCCTTGAGTCAGGAGGCACAGCCCAGGCTTCCTGGGCATAACTGTGGGCTCCCCATGAGGACCCGGTGCTGGAACCGTCATCCACGGCTGATGGGAATGTAGAATGGTATAGACTTTGGAAAGCAGCTTGGCAGTTTCCTAAAAAGTCAAACACAGAATACAATGTACCAATTCCACTCCCAGTTATACAGCCTAGAGAATTAGGTCCATATGTCCATATAAAAATGTGTACAAAGATGTTCACAGCAGCATTATTCACGATAGCCAAAGGTGGAAACGAACTAATGTCCATCAATGGATGAACAGAAAAGAAAACTAAGTGTGGTCTATATACAGTAGACACTATTGAGCCACTAAGAGGTATGAAGTACTGACACACGCTACGGCACAGGGAGGCCTGACCACAGTGCGGAGTGAAAGAAGCCATGTATTATATGGTTCTGTTCATATGAAATGTCTAACATAGGAAAAGCCATGGAAACAGAAAGTAGATTAGTGGTGGCCTGATGGTAGGGAGAAGGGAAAATTGGCACTGACTGCTAACAGGTGTGGATTTCTTTCTAGGGTGATGGAAATATTCAGAATTAGTAGGAATGGTTACACAACATTGTGAGTTCAGTAAAACGACTGATTGTACACTGTAAAATGGTTTAAATGGTTGGGGGGGTGGAATTATGCACCTTGAAAGGGAATCTGCATCTCAGGCTTCCCTCACTGGCAGGCTTCCCCCCATCTTCACCTCTGACTTCTGCAAACTCCTGGCCCCCAGCTGCCTGTCTGTCTTGGTCCTAACTTACATCTTTTGTAGACTTCCTTGTTCCCACTTCCCTATTTTGACTCACTTCAGTCATGGCTTTTGAGGGATTTTTTGTCTTCCAGACACGGTCTCTGTCACTCAGGCTGGAGTGCAGTGGCACCATCATACCTCACTAAAGTCTCGACCTCCTGGGCTCAGGGAAACCTCTTGCCTCAGCCTCCCAAGTAGCTGGGACCTACAGGCATGTGCCACCATGCTACCACGCCTGGCAGATTTTTGTATTTTTTGTAGAAACAGGGTTTCACCATGTTGCCCAGTCTGGTCTCAAACTCCTGGGGTCAAGCAATCCACCTGCCTCAGCCTCCTAAAGTGTTGCCATTACAGGTGCCACCATGCCCAGCTACTTCTTAGTATTTGAGCTATGTATGCATCCAGCACATATTCACTGAGCGCCTACTGTGTGCCAGGTGCTGTCTATCTCCTTAGGAGACTGTGGGGAGTAGACCACAGTCTGGTTCCTCACATGCCTGTCTTCCTGCCCCTGCTTCTGTCTTGCGGCTCGGCCTGGCTGACCTCAGGTTCTGCCTGCAGACCTGGGCTGGTTGCCCCTAACCAGGTACACATGGTTAGAGAAGGAAACAATGCCTTCCTGTGGCCCAAGGACTGGTTCGCTTGGTTCATAGCAGTGACAGCCGTTCATGCACAGCTGCTTCCCAACCCAGTCCTCTGAGATAGAGCGGCAGAGAAAGCTTATGTTCCAATCTATCATTTACCCTTCTTCTTCCTTCTTCCAGGCTTTTTTCATACGCACACACTCACATGCTCACTCACATTCACCCAGTCTGGAAGGGAGCTGAGACAGAAAGTCCAGGCTTTCATGTCTGATAACTACACAAATTCATCTGCTTCCAGGTTACAGCTCTGTCTAGCAGCAAGGTTAAAAAGGTTAAAAAGGCAAGAGCTGGGAAGCGTTTCCCGCCCTGATGTTCACCTTCTGTTCCTCCCCAGGACCCATTGCCATCGCCGCCGCATTTCCTCACCCCTCACCTCTCTTTGCACTTCCCCTAGTTCCTTTCCCTCCTAAAAAACAGCCTGCTAACCCTCTCCTGGGGAAGCCTTGGAATGTAGATAATGCCTGGACAGGGATGCCTCCACCTTGGGGAACGGTAGCAAGCGGGGAGGGAGTTGCTGAGGCAGCTTGAGGAAGGGGCTTCTTAATATGGAGGAGAGAGGCCGGGCAGCATGCAGGGCTGGGCTGGGGACAGCCTGAGCTCCACGCTGTCTCACTTTATCTCCAGGCATGGGCACCAAGGTGGGCACCAGCCTCTCACTCAATGTCCTCATTGTCCTGTGGTTCTTTTTGATTTTACATCCCAGGAAGGAGTTGCTGCCTCTTGGCCACTGCGGCCAGCTCTCAGCCCCAAGTGGCCTGGGCTGTTTCTCAAATATGAAGCCTCACTCAAGCCTCAAAGGGGGCTGGGATGGCTCTTTCTTTCTTTTCTTTCTTTCTTTATCCCTTTAATTTCCGTGGCCAATCCATTCACCCGTCCCCACCCCGATACCATTAAAACCTTCTCTTATTTCACATCACCCCTGACTAACACTTCAGAGGCTTGGAGATCCTCTAATGTGTTCCACGTGTCCCCAAAGCCATCTAAATTCAGCCCTGGGACTGCGTTCTTGGTGTGAGAAACCTGAACTCATCTTCAAAGGCCCAGCCTCCTCTTAAGACTTTCTGCCCACTCCCCCCATGCCCTTTCCTTCTTCAAGGTGCTCGGCTCCCTGCCCTGACCATCAGCGGCTGTGGGCTGCTCAGAGAGACTCAGGCCATTCCCACTTGGTTTTCTTCCAGTGAAAGATGACCAGGAGGCTGTGCTTTGCTTCTACAAAACCGCCAAGGACTGCGTCATGATGTTCACCTACACGGAGCTCCCCAGTGGGAAGTCCAACCTGACCGTCCTCAGGGAGCCAGGTAGGTGAGGGCTGCGAGGGGATCGGCCCACTCAGCCAGCCCTCAGTTCTGATTTCTGATGCCATTCCCTTCTCTGGCACCACTGCCCTTTCTCTCCTCGTTGGCCTTTCCAAACTCCAGGGAGAGGAGGGATACAATTTCTTATTTTTCTTTTATTTCTTTTTTTTTTTTTAGACAGGCCATCACTGTGTCACCCAGGCTAGAGTGCGGTGGTGCCATCATGGCTCACTGCAGCCTTGACCTCCTCGGGTTCAGGTGATCCTCCCACCTCAGCCTCCCGAGCAGTTGGCACTACAGGCATGCACCACCACACCGGGCTAATTTTTGTGTTTTTTTGGTAGAGACAGGTTTTCACCACGTTGCCCAGGCTGGCCTTGAACTCCTGGGCTCAAGCGATCCACCTGCCTTGGCCTCACAAAGTGCTAAGATTATAGGTTTGAGCCACTGCACCTAACCAGTACAATTTCTCATGAAGATCAGATCTAAGGTCACTGCTGCTCCACTCCTAGAGTTTAGAAGAAAGATGAGTGTGCAGCTGGGGGCCCATTCTTGGGGCAAAGCTCTAGGGGTGCGTGAGTCAGGGCAATGGGAGTTATAGAAGGATAGGGCCCTGTCCCTGGGAGAGTCTTCTGTTGGAGGAGCTCAGAGGTGAAAGGAACCACAGAACATACCTACCCTGCACAGCCAAAGGCAGCAAGGAGCCGCTGTGTTCTGCAGGGAGGGTGCAGGGCATCTGGACCACCTGGGCTGGGCAGGGTATCACTCAAGTCAGGGAGCATCCAGCTTCACACACAGCCCGGGCAGGGCCGCTGCTCTTCCCAGCGTGGATTCCAAGGACAACGGAGCGCTGGGTTCAACATTCCTGCTGCTCCCATGCTCAGCTTCCAGAACCACTGAAGAGGTCAAGCTGCAATCCAAATACCAAAATTCTGCCTCTGCTTGGACTCAGGGACCAATAGCCTTTGCCTCGGAGTAATTGGAATTTCTGATATCACCCCTTACATTCTTCTTGGGGGTGAGGAGGCAGGGGTGGAGCAGAAGAAGATTGGCTCTCTTCAGTTGACAGCACTGCAAACTATTTTTCCAAATTGGGCCCAACCACATAATGTGCCTTCCTGAGGCCAGAGGCAGAGAGAAGTGTGGTACCAGCCTAGGACACACGCCTGTAAGAATGAGGCTTTGTTTCCAGTGCTGTCTCTGCGGTTCTTTGAAAATAAGCACATTTACTCCAAGGAATTCCACACTAAAGGCTTACAAATGTTGGCCCCCAGCCCAGACCTTGTAGAAGTGGCTTCATGGTACCTCCTGCCTGCCAGTCTGCTCCTGAAACCATGTACATGAAAGCTGAGCGGGTCCAGCATCCCACAATGGAGACCGGGCCAGGCAGGGCATGGGTGCTGCCCATGAGGGGAAAGGCAGCTATGCCCCAGGGCTCTCATCTAGACTTTGCCACACTTGCTGTGTGACTTTGGAACAGCCACTGGCCCTTTTGAATCTTTCATTTTTTGTATATTGGGGAAACCTTCCTGAGGATCTAAGAGAGCCAAGGAGAAGGCCTTTGGGAGGGGTGCAACTTTTATCTCAGAAATGCCTGCAGCTGGGGGGTGGGAGGGGCATGGTGATGCTAGTGGCTTTGCTTACCATGTTTCTGGTCCCCCCAGAGTGTGGAAACACCCCCAACGCCATGACCATCCTCCTGGCTGTGGTCGGCAGCATCCTCCTGGTTGGGCTCGCACTCCTGGCTATCTGGAAGCTGCTCGTCACCATCCACGACCGGAGGGAGTTTGCAAAGTTCCAGAGCGAGCGATCCAGGGCCCGCTATGAAATGGTAAGCATGTGGGAAATGGGAAGCAGAGACTTCAAGCTCAGAGGCGTGGTTGAGTTCAGTGGTACGTTAGCAATAGAGGCTCACTAATGTCTTTGGCATTAAAAACAAAGAACACCAGAAAGACTGTGCCCAGTTCTGAACGGAGAGAATTGCATAACCCCAGTGCAGAGTGACCTGCACAGATCCCTGTTCCAAACCCAGATCAGGAGGGTCATGGGGGCAGAGGCGCTGGGTGTGCCTCAGGAAGAGTCTGATCAGTCTTAGAGAGACCACAGACCCACAGGAAAGCTCAGATTCTTATGGTCCATTACAACACTCACACCTGCAGTCTGGTCAGCCCAGGCGGACTGCAGACGCCCAAAGGACTGAGCGCAGAGTCAGTGCCTGCTGAACCTGGGCTTGGTTTCTGTTAAAGCTGGAAGGGACTTCAGAGACCTTCTGACCCAACTCCTCCTTCCAGAGGTGGATAGTGCAAGCTTAGAGAAGGCGAGAGCTTTCCCGGGGAACACAGAGCTGTCCTAGAGCGCATGGCCATCTCCTCCTGAGTGCTCTGCCTGCTGCTGTCGTGGGTGGCTGACCTGGGAAGGGATCCTAGGGCGGCGTCTGCTGGTTTGAGTGTGTGAGCTAACATGTGTCCTCATCCTCTTCCCCGCCATGTTCTGTAGGCTTCAAACCCATTGTACAGAAAGCCCATCTCCACGCACACTGTGGACTTCACCTTCAACAAGTTCAATAAATCCTACAATGGCACTGTGGACTGATGTTTCCTTCTCCGAGCATCTGGAGGGGGGAACTAATGAAAAGGTCAGACTGAAACGCCTTGCACGGCTGCTCGGCTTGATCACAGCTCCCTAGGTAGGCACCACAGAGAAGACCTTCTAGTGAGCCTGGGCCAGGCGCCCGCATTGCCTGCACAGGAAGGTGCCTGGCCATGTCACCTGGCTGCTAGGCCAGAGCCATGCCAGGCTGCATCTCTCCGAGCTTGGGATAAAGCAAGGGGACCTTGGCGCTCTCAGCTTTCCCTGCCACATCCAGCTTGTTGTCCCAATGAAATACTGAGATGCTGGGCTGTCTCTCCCTTCCAGGAGTGCTGGGCCCCGAGCCTGGCCAGACAAGAGGACTGTCAGGAAGGGTCAGAGTGTGTAAAACCAGCATACAGTTTGGCTTTTTTCACATTGATCATTTTTATATGAAATAAAAAGATCCTGCATTTATGGTGTAGTTCTGAGTCCGGAGACTTTTCTGCCTGATGGCTATGCCTTGCATACAGGTGTTGGTGATGGGGCTGTTGAGATGCCTGTCGAAGGTCCATCGTTTGCAAATGTCAGTTTCCTCTCCTGTCCGTGTTTGTTTAGTACTTTTGTAATGAAAAGAAACAAGACTGTTTGGGATTGAAAGTAAAGATTAAAACCAAAGGAATTTGTGTTTGTCTGATACTCTCTGTATTTGTTTCTTTCTGAACGGACTTAAAATGGTGCCCGCAGTGAGGACTGAAGCGGCCGTGTACTTCCTCAGGGGTGGGACACAAGCTGGTCTGATACTCCAGACTACAACTTGTCAGTAAGCATGAGGTGCTCGGGGCAGTCAGGGCTGTGCAAGGGAGCACTGAGCAGATACCTTTGGCCCCTTCCAGCTTTTACTGACAGAGTTCCAGGCTAGACACCATAAAAACCACCCCCTGGTCTCCCTCCCTTGTTCTAAGGAGCTGAGGCTGGAAATAGATTGTGCAGACAAGCGAGGGTTGAGTGGTGGTTCCCACACAAAGCCACCTCTTAAACATCATTAGCAATAGCAGTTCCCTTCCAAGGCCTCCCCTCACTCCCGAAACACTTATGTCCCATGCAGGCCCAGTGCAAAAAATACATTTGAGCTTTTTTCCTGCAGGGCCATGAAGTCCCCTTAGGTTCCCATATCTGAGATGGTTGTCTGACCCTCTCCCCTTATGTACAGAAGAGGAAACTGATTCTCAGAGAGGGGAAGTGGCTTGCCATTCAGTGTTAGGAGGTTGCTGAATGACAAACTGTTCCTAAGACCCCATCTCAGGCTGGCCAGAGGGCCAGCCTCCTCATTCCTGCTTGTTCTTAGAAAATCTTTCACTGATCATTTTTTGTCACTGGAGTAACTTCAAGGTTATTATGCTTTCATTCCAAGTGGATCTATCCTCAGCTGTGGACCAAATTCCCCTTACTTCATTTTGGCAAACATTAAGTCAAGTCAAATAGTCAAATGCCTGTCACTACATAGAGCCTATCACCTGGGGCAAATACGAACAGACTGAGTTTCCTCCATCTTGTGTAAATAGGATGGAACAGAGACCTGGTAACTTGGTGACACTGCCTTAAACCCTTTTTGGGATAAAGCCAAATGTAAATGAAAACATTAAACAGATAAATTGCGGCGTTGAGACTTTCTGAATTGAGAAAAATAAATGTAATTTTGGAAGAAGCTTCGGGTTTCTCTCCTGTTTAATTTTGGGTTTCCTAGAGACAAATCATTAACTGGCTCAGAATCTCATTTTCTGTGAGGGCATGCCATTCTGGTTTTTTTGTTGTTGTTAGAGGGTCTCACTGGGTCACTCAGGCTGGAGTGCAGTGGTGCGATCTCAGTTCTCTGCAGCCTCAACCTCCTGGTCTCCCGTGATCCTCCCAACTCAGCCTCCTAAGTAGCTGGGACTACAGGTGTGCACCATCACGCCCAGATAATACTTTATTTTTTGCAGAGACAAGGTCTCACTTATGTTGCCCAGGCTGGTTGGTCTAGAACTCCCAAGCTCAAGCGATCCTTCCACCTTGGCCTCCCAAAGTGTTGGGATTACAGAAGTGAGCCACCGCGCCTGGCCTGGGCACAACATTCTTGAGTCACAGATAGATAGCAAAGGAAGATTTGTTCTAGTTCCACCTGACGTGGAAGCTGGGGGTGTTCAGTCTGACGCGGAGGGATGTTACGGAACCCGCGCTCACGGTGCCTTGCTGCCCCCTGCTGGAAGCTCTTGGGATGAGCTGTTTGGAGATCTGACTCCTGAGATTGCGACCCAATGTATGATTTAAAGGTTATCCAGCGAGCTGCCGGTGACCACAAAGATAATCTATTCCAAACGCTTCATTTCACAACCCACCCCCAGATAGGTCATTTTGTAATTTTAAGATATTTTTATCAAAATGGGCCTTTGGTCGGGCACGGTGTCTCACGCCTGTAATCTCAACACTTTGGGAGAGCAAGGTGGGAGGATTGCCTAAGCCCAGGAGTTCGAGACCAGCCTGGGCAACACAATAAGACCCTGACTCTACAAAAAAGAAAAAAAAAGGGAATTCTCATACAGCTTGATTGACTAGTACTTTAGGAAACTAAAGTGACCAATAGCTACCTCTTCCAGGGAAGAAATGTGATTTTTAAATTTGTTTAATCAGGATCAAAGCTTGAGGTGATTATCATGAAACTCTTGGGATGAATTTCAGGTAAGAGCAAACAGATGGGGAAAAACTGTCAGGGCGGACAGAAGGTCCTTCTCTGCTGGAGTATGCCCTTTAGCTCCTCCCCCTCCCTGGAGGACGTCCAATACCATGGTTCCTACTTGCTGCTGAGGACAGCCTTGTATACTCAGCTACTGTTATGGATGGGAATGGATTGTGTCCCTGCAAAAATTCATTTGTTGTAAGCCCTAAAGCCCCAATGTGATAGTATTTGGAGATGATGGAGTCTAAAGAATGAATTGCGATTAAATGAGGTCATAGGGTGGCACCCTAACTCAATGCAGCTGGTGTCTTTATAAGACCAGGTAGGGACCCCAGGGCTGCAAAGAGGAAAGGCTGTGTGAAGACACAGCGAGAAGGCGGCTGCCTGCAAGTCAACAGGAGAGGCCTTAGGGGAAACCATGGCTGCTGACACATGATCTTGAACTTCCACGGCCTCCAAAACTATGAGAAAGTAAGTTACAGTTGTTGAAACCACCCAGTCTGTGGTATTTTGTTACGGCAGCCTGAGCAGACTAATACAGCTAGTAACAACACGCTTTGAGACTGGCAGAGAGGGGGCGGGGAGAAGAAGTAAAAGACGCAAAGGCCGACAGTGACAGTGCTGGGATGAGGCTCCGGAGGAGGTGTTGCGCCTGTCGGGTGTGAGGTGCCTGAGGAAGCTGGGGTTTTGTCCAGTGGGCACTGGAAATGCAGACAGGGCATGGCATGTGAACATGCCTGGAGCTGGGTCACTGCCTGCATGGAGGCTGTGAGCACTCAGACAGCTGTGGCCTTTCTCCTGGCTGTGACTCGGCACTGGGGCTCCTCTGGAGGTCCCCCAGCTGAGAAGGCCTAGTTAAGTCTCTCCCACCTGGCATCCTGTTCTCCCCCAGGGCTCCAGGCTTCATAGTCAGGACCCAGCTCCTATTCAGGCCTTCAGACCCTCCAGGGGTGCAGACATGGAGCTGGAGGGAGAAGAATAGGAGAGACAGCTGAGCAGGCTGTCGTGCTGGTGAGGGGGCTGTGCTTGAGGAACAGTTCTTCCCAGCCCCCAAAAGCCCCGCCTGCTCAGTTGCTGCTTTGGGAGGGACCCATGGGAAGCAGGGAAGGACAGTTGCTGCCTGGCCAGCCCCATCTGACAGAGCCACCTCCAAGACGGGTTGGGTGATGTGTCAGTGAGAAGGCCTTCACATCCGATTTCTTTCTCTTGGATGTGAATGTTGGGAAGTCCATCTCTCCCCATGACTGATGCTTCCTTCTGTCACACAATGGGGACTGTATAATCGGTACGGTATCTTGATGGTTAGGAAGCTGGGAACTGAATGCATTTAGTGGACCAGAGACTGTTCAAAACATGGGGACAAGAGAAAAGAGGCTCGGGTTCTTAGTGCCACCCCTTTTCCTCTCAACCCAACTCCACTGCCCCCTCCATTAACAACCCCCATCTCTTCCTACCTTCCTCTTCTACACATGTCCTGATCCTTCTGATAGATACCTGGCTGCATAACGTCTTCACTTTAAGATGCCTCGAATTCTTGGTGAAAAAAGGCAAGCTCTAAACTGCAAGGAGCAACCCATCAGGGGCAGCCACCTCACTGACCTTCTAGGGTAGGAGTTCTTGACCCTTTTGGGTCGTGGGCTGCTTTGGCATTCTGGTGAATGCTACAGACACCCTTGTCAGAACAATGCCTATAAATGTGTAATAAAGAAGACGCTAAAAAGACCAAGCCTATTTCTCAGGGTTATCATTTCAGTTTGATTTCAAAACCACCCTCCCTGGAAGACACATCATTGAAAGCTTCATTGGTCCCACCCACATAGAATATCAGACCCCTGTGACTGAAAGCAAACTCCTCATTTGATCCTCACAACTAACCCACAAATACCACATTCAGGGAAGGTATTTTCCCATTTTACAAAAGGGGAGATGGAGAACAGTCACACCTTGAGTGAGGGTTGGTGAGACCCAAGCTCAAGAATCCCTTCTCTAGAGTCCTCTGCTCTGCACCTGCTCCTGGAAAAAGTCTGACTCTCTTCTTATCCCAGAATTCTGCCACATGATGGGGAAGTCATCTGAGTCTCCGTCTTGGGGGCATACATCTCTACTGAACTAAAATGAGTGCTCTAAGAGCAGACTGACACATTATAAAATCTCTCTCCCTCCTCCTTGAATCTTTCTCTTTCGTCCTCTTCACAAGAGCAGTCTCTGGTACCCACATGTGGAGGCCAAGGCAACTCCAACTTGGAAGTGAATCTGCCATGTTGACTTCTGATTAACTCCTGTTCTGGAAAGCTCTCTAAGATTTCCA